ACCCTAGCAAGAGCCGTGCTACGCAGAATCTACCACCGGATCGGAAACGCGACCCGCTGAGAAGATCCGGCGAGAAACTCAGTGGGCTGTGTATGTGGGTTAATTTACTCGTCGAGCCCTTCGTCACAAGCGACGGGTTCGACGAGAACGATGACCGGTGCTTGTGGTACCTAAAAGCGCCGTTAGTAGATCGGGAGGATCCGTAATGACGTGTTTAGGGCAGATCTCTCTGGAAACGCGCTGCCTGTAAACGCAACGGTTCTGGGTAGTCTGGATGAACTTTGCCCCGGTGGCGGGCGGAGTGTTAGTAAAAACGAGATGACGGCATCATCTCGAACAATACAAATACTTTGAAGGTTAAATGTGCATCGTGTCGTAAGCTACCGACAGATTCAGATGAAATATTGGAAAATTAAAAAAAAAAATAGAAAATAAATTTTAATAAATTTGAATTAAAAATAGTGTAAGAAAAAACGATTTTATTGTAAAAAAAAGCGTAGGGCGCATGGTATCAGTAGTTTAAATATTTTGTGAACAGATATGAGTGGAAGAGTTATTTTGAAAATATCCTGAAAAGCATCCCACGCTTTTTCTTACACTATTTTTAATTCAAATTTATCAAAATTTATTTCGTGAGGTATTTGTTCTGTAAATATGCCGCGAATACTGTGAGTATGGGAAAGCGAGCTCACAAAGGATCTTCGGTTGGATACCTACATATTGGAATCCTTTTTTGAAGTGAAACTTCTTTAGAAGGGCGGGGTAGCCGTTGTAACTATACTTGAGACCTTAGAACTTATATCTCAAGGTGGGTGGCGCATTTACGTTGTGGATGTCTATGGGCTCCAGTAACCACTTGACACCAGGTGGGCTGTGAGCTCGTCCACCCATCTAAGCAATAAAACAATAAAAAAAGAATCGTTGTGATTTCAAACTCGATGAAACGAAAAAATAAGTCCATAGAGACACAAACACATAAATGTATAAGATTCAGCCGGCGAGAGAACGAGATAGAACACATTATACGTGAAGTTAAAATATCAATTCACAGAGGGCGCTACCTCATACTATAAAAGATGATTTACAATTATTTACTCATGACAAAATTTTACATATACATTGCTGACGTCCATGAGCGACGGTAACCATTCAGGTGGGCCGTATGCTCGTCTGCCTGTTCGGGCAATAAAAAAAAATAAAATAAAAAAGATAAATTTTCAGTTTAAAAAAAAATAAAAAAAAAGCATCCGGCAACAGACAAACTACTATTTACGTGATACGTTTTTGTGGGAAACATGATTTTGTTTGTATTTATAACTAGCGACCCGCCCTCGCTTCGCTTCGGAAACATTAAATTTTATTATTGATAGCCGAGTCCTGCGATGTTACCCGCGGTTATTGTCGTACCGCGGGTGACGCCGCGGGGCGAAGCTAGTCTAAAAAAGTAGCCTAAGTTACTCCTTATATCATCAGTTAGTTATCAGTGAAAATCTCGTCAAATCCGGTCCAGCCGTTCCAGAGATTAGCCGGAACAAACAGACAGACTATTCTACTGGTGGTAGGACCTCTTGTGAGTCCGCGCGGGTACGTACCACCACCCTGCCTATTTCTGCCGTGAAGTAGTAATGCGTTTCGGTTTGAAGTATGAAGGGTGGGGCAGCCGTTGTAACTATACCGAGACCTTAGGACTTAAATCTCAAGGGGGATGGCGCATTTACGTTGTAGATGTCTATGGGCTCCAGTAACCACTTAACACCAAGTGGGCTGCGAGCTCGTCGATCCATCGAAGCAATAAAAAAAAACATACAGACAGACAAAAATTGTAACAAATGTTATTTTGATGTATGTACCGCATATAATAATATTATTATATTCATATTATGCATGTAGTAAAAAGCGTTTATTTCAATACTACAAACAGACACTCCAATTTTATTTATAAGTATAGATAAATATTTGGTTGTCAATTGTCAGATTTTGTCTCTTATGGTCGTTGCACTTTGAACGTCTTGTTTTGTCTTTTTTTTTTGGTAAGTGCGAAAATCTGTATGGTTAAGGATAAATTATATTAATGTCTCGATTATATGAGTCTACTGGCCGTACTCGTCCGCTTCGCTGGGCATTTAAAATGAAAATTATTATTTATTGTCACTATTATTAGAGAGTCCAACACTCATATAAATATTAGCCTATCCATGAGGTACATGTATTTTCTACATGGATACAAAGTTTCAAGTCAATCGGATGCGTGGTTCAGTGGTTATAAGTTTGTAGTCGTCGTGGCCCAAGGGATAAGACGTCCGATGCATACGTGTTGAGCGATGTGCCGGTGTTCGAATCCCGCAGGCGGGTGGGTACCAATTTTTCAAATGAAATACGTACTTAATAAATGTTCACGATTGACTTCCACGGTGAAGGAATAACATCGTGTAATAAAAATCAAATCCGCAAAATTATAATTTGCGTAATTACTGGTGGTAGGACCTCTTGTGAGTCCGCACGGATAGGTACCACCACCCTGCTTATTTCTGCTGTGAAGCAGTAATGTGTTTCGGTTTGAAGGGTGGCGCATTTATGTTGTAGATGTCTACGGGCTCCTCTATGGGCGACCCTCGGCGCTAAAGTCAAAGTTGCTAACTACTGCACCATCGAGTCAGGCAATTAGTTACCAGTATTAAATAATGCACAATCGCTAACATTTCACCGCGGACTTACTGTGTTTCCTTGCAAAAAAACCAAATATTTATCTATATAATTATTAGCCGAGATAAGCCTGTCCATTATCAGTATTTTATGGGACACTTGTTATCGTTGGCAGCACACGTCGGCCTAAAGATAAGCTGACGAATGTATTGCTTGTAGCGGATTTAGTCTAACCCATAGAGACAGGTCACTGAGTTTCTCGCCGGATCTTCTCAGTGTTACTGGTGGTAAGACCTCTTGGGAGTCCGCACGGGTAGGTACCACCACCCCGCCTATTTCCGCCGTGAAGCAGTAATGCGTTTCGGTTCGAAGGGTGGAGTAGCCGTTGTAACTATACTGAGACCTTAGAACTTATATCTCGAGGTGGGTGGCGCATTTACGTTGTAGATGTCTATGGGCTCCAGTAACCACTTAACACCAGGTGGGCTGTGAGCTCGTCCACACATCAAGGCAATAAATAAAAAAAAAAGTGGGTCGCGATCCGGTGGTAGATTCAATGAAGCACTGCTCTTGCTAGGGCCAGTGTTAGCAATTCTTGGGCCAGCTTGAGCCCGTGAGATCACCAACCGGTCCCCGAGTAGCTGGATAAGCCCCTTAGCCTTACCAAAGATCATGGTAGGGTAATTAAAAAAAACTAGTGGCCCCACAGTAATCGAAATTCGACTATAATTAATTGAAATTATAAGTTTCAACATTATTATGGTTCTATTGTTACAGATTTCGCCAAGACTACACTATAGACAAACACTCGTAATATTAAAGACAAACAATATTAATCTATTCTCAATTTGACCACAGACTTTAAGCAATAACAAAAGTTTGACAATAAACAAAGAGTATATTTATATATATGTGTGTGTATCAAATACATGGTAATGTGCGTAATGTTTTCTTTATTGATTTAATGTATTTTTTAATAAATAATTTGAAAAAAATATTAGTATGCTGCACTTCTTCTCGACATTCTATATAAGTGTGGAAAATTTCATACTCTTGCGTCTGCGCAATTTTTTTAAAAAGGGATACAAAGTTTTTGCTTCACGTATTAATATTAGAAAAAATGCCGTCGAATTTTCGTCCACATTGTCCTAATGAGTACTCATTTTTTTTGTTGGTTCTCAAACAAGCCCTTCTTAATGACAAGGAAACATTTACAAATGACCCGAAGACATTAGGACATGAAGACATTCTTAATGTTGCTTGGAAACTATAGAACTGTGATACTTAGTCGAACCGGTCATTGAATTCATCGAAATTATTTAGTGTGGTTTTTTTTTTACGGAATAGGAACTGTAAAACATTTCCGCAAACAGACATGGGACACCCGCATATATATTACAGCGTTCAACGATAAGCGGGTACCAGAGGCAAGGTCTGGTCTTAACTAGTTTAGAGAAAAAAATATATAAAAAATAACTAAAATTCTTCTTCTTCTTCTTTGTCGTTTCCTCATTACTGAGGGTCGTGACCACCTTGATCTAGTTGCACCAGCTTCCTCCAATGTTGCCTGCATTCGGCCTGCTTAATGGCGCCCGGGACGCTGGTGTTTGTGGCCTCCTCGACAATCTCCGTCCACCTGGTTGGCAATCTTCCTCGACTTCTCTTTCCTTCCACGTGACCTACAACTATTAATTTTTCCAAGTTCTCAGGATTTTGTCGGGCCACGCGTCCGAAGTACTTGAGGAGACGCTGCATACAGATTACTAAAATTGCTGGGAACAACTCATGCACGGTCGTCCGACCCCAATTTAGAGTTCTCTATGTTATGGGTTCTAGAGACTGACATATCGACGCAATAATAATAGTTTGTGGTTGAAGCTCATGGCTGAAATTTTGTATATAATTGTAAACATAAAAAAAATCGTAGTAATAAGTATATAACTAATTTATTTTCGTCAGATTCAGTGAAATTAGACTTATGTACTCTGTGTGGTGGACTCCACTCTTTCAAAGTTAGTTCATTAATAAAACCAATGCTTTCTTTAAATAATAGTTAAAAACAAAACAATTCGCTCGCAATCAAGTTTGAAAAGTTTTATGGTAATCGTGAACTATTATATTCATAGTGTTTATCAAGTATTGAGGGAATGTAAGAATCAATACTTACATGGATCAATAGATATTTGCATCATATCATATCGTATCAACTGAACGAATTATGTCATTCGAAACCAAAGATTTGTTACAATATTTAAAAGAGTGATTTAAATCTTCCAAGGAAAAAGATTTATAAATCACTGATCTCATTGGTGATTTGGTTTGCGCATTCCTATTAAACGGAAACAAATTTGTTTTAGATGCGTCTTCATCGTTGTGAGGGCTGCCTAGCGGCGTGCGGCAGAGAGCGCCGCGCCGCCCTCTCTTCAACCCCTAGACCCCTCATCAGGTAAACCAATTGATAGAATTATTAATTTGCTCCAGTCAAAACCATAATCCTTTAACCATAATTACTTAGCGTGGTATGGACATGTGATGCGTAGAGAGAAGATCCATGTGACTAGGAGATGTATGGAAATGGTAGGGCAAGGTAGAGGGGGAAGAGGTCGACCGAAGAAGACATGGATGGAGTGTGTGAATGACGATATGAGAGAGAGAGGAGTGAGTGTTGAGATGACGGCTGATAGAAGAGAATGGAAGAGAAAAATTAGCTGTGCCGACCCCACCTAGTGGGATAAGGTGGAGAAAATCCTTTTGTCATTTAGTAACTTTAAGGAAGTAGGCATCATTGGCGATGAATCTTGCGTCATACGTGGTTGGTAAGTCCACCTTTTTTTTCCTACCAATTCTAGTAACCTCGAGGGGCTATTCTAGATTCTCCGAACTAGTAGGTGAGCTCACGGGTCTCAAACCTGACGACGTTGCTAACACGAACCCTAGTAAGAGCAGTGCTTCGCAGAATCTACCACCGGATCGTAAACGCGACCCACTGAGAAGATCCGGCGAGAAACTCAGTGGACTGTGTCTGTGGGTTAAGAAGTCCGCCGGTATTGAGGCCGTCAGCGCAAAAGTAGCCTAATCTCACCATAGTTAGTATGGAGATAATGAGGCTCGAATTTACTTTTACTCTGATTCGTAGGCAAAAGTGATAAGCGCAAAAATAATGTTTACAACGCCATCTGTTATCTATGGAACTAGGGATACGTCGGTTTTGCATCAACATTTAAATAAATTTCAGCTTTTAAATAAATTTCAATATACATAAGCATACAATATACACACAATATACATGACAAATTGTGGGCTAAGTCACTTTTGCGCTGACTCCCTTGTATACTTTGAGTAAATGAAAACGTAGAAGTTCCATACGTCTTTAATTCTCGGAGTTTCTCGCCGGACCTTCTCAGTGGGTTGCGTTTCCGATCCGGTGGTAGATTCTGCGAAGCACGGCTTGCTAAGGCCAGTGTTAGCAACCCCTTCGGTTTGAGCCCCGAGAGCTCACCTACACGCTAGGGTAACGCTGATACAGCCTCTCAAGGCTATCAGCATAGGTAGGAATGGAAAAAAAATCCTGTAAATGCTTAAACAGTTCTCTGCGCCAAACACCATCTCTTTCCCTCGACAGGACTAAGCTATTGAAACGAGCAAGACGTAATCCGTACTCGCCTCCGCACGCAACGACAAAGGAACACTTCCCAGCCAAGATGGCGGAGTCCGCACCGCCCACGCCGCCCGACAATAACGCCCCACGTAAGTGCTCTCATTAAAATTAAACCGTACTTTCTTAACTGACTTCTAAAAAATCGAGGAGGTTCTTAATTCGATAGTGTGTTTGATGCGAGTTTTTTAACGTTCTCGATAGCGTAAAAGTTAACTCAAATTTGTATGGAGTTGGAACGCTTGCCTTCGTTTGCCGATAGAGGCGCTGTTCCAATTCCATGCATATTGAGTTAACTTTTACGCTATCGAGAACGTTAAAAAACTCACACTAAGCACACTGAATGAGAGAAGCCTAGGATCGCTAGCCTTACTGGTGGCAGGACCTCTTGAGAGTCCGCGGGGCAGCCGTTGTAACTATACTTGAGACCTTAGAACTTATATCTCAAGGTGGGTGGCGCATTTACGTTGTAGATGTCTATGGGCTCCAGTACCACTTAACACCAGGTGGGCTGTGAGCTCGTCCACCCATCCAAGCAATAAAACAAAAAGAAATCGCGCTCAGTGGCTTGCGATCGAAGAGGCCTATGGAAATTTATTCAAACAACCATTTTTTTAATATATGTTTTTAAACATATCGAGGGTGTTTGTGTGTGACGTCACAACTGGGTTTTTAGTGGAGCCCATATTTTTGACCCTCTTTGATTTATTGGAAAACTAGTGCTTCTCTTGTGGCCTTCGTGTAGTAAATTGTACCAACATCCCGGTCATTAGTTTTTTGGCTATCCTTAATGATACATATTTAATTTACTTCGATTACATTAATGATGTTCTTATTTTACTTTTAAAATTTTGTTTTTGTTATAATTTTTGTATTCATTATGTTAGAGCTAAGATTGGCCCAGCTCACGGTCTATCGACAAAATGTTGGTCGTAGTTTGGATCGCAGCTATCTAACCTAACTTCTAGACTTTGAGACTCTTAGACTTTGCGACTCTTAGAATTTGTGACTCCTAGACTTTGCAACTCCTAGACTTTACAACTCCTAGACTTTACAACTCCTAGACTTTGCAGCTCCTAGACTTTGCAACTCCTAGACTTTACAACTACTAGACTTTACAACTCCTAGACCTTGCAGCTCCTAGCTTTGCTGCCTAAAGCTGTCTGTTAATATTACGAACAAATAAAGTCATCTGAACACGCTTCCCAGCGATGCCCTGGTTCGGCATGGACATTGGGGGCACGCTGACGAAACTGGTCTATTTCGAGCCCCGCGAGACGAACAGACGCGAACTCGACAAGGAGACCGAAGTCCTGAAGAATATCAGGAGATACTTGACGAGGAACTCGGCTTACGGGAAGACCGGGAGAAGGGACGTTCATCTGCAGGTAATAATGGTGGGATTACTGGTGGGACGCTTTGGGCCCATTAGGAAAATTAAAAAAAGTTTTCATTTCTATAATGGCCGGTTCTCCCCTCTCCTAATAGATGGAGAACGTAACGATAAGAGGCCGCAGGGGCACGCTGCACTTCATAAGGTTCCCGACTTCGGAGGTGGGAGCTTTCCTCCAGCTGGCCCGCTCTAAGGGCATGGCGGATCTGGTGAACACAATCTACGCGACAGGGGGGGGCGCGTACAAGTTCGAGGAGGACTTCATTAAGGTATAAACTATGTATAAAATATAATTTATTTTAACTAGCTTAATCCTTGTCAAAATCTTCATAGATTGTCAATAGTTTTAAATTTTTTTAAAGGATTTTGTGGCCTGGTAACTAAGACCTTTAGGTCATGTCTTATTTTAATTTTAATGAAAACTTTTTTCTATGCAAATTGATATTATCAATGAAATGAAATCAAATCAAATGAAATGCGATGATATGCGATGAAATATAATCTCAGTGAAATGATGGTCATTTACTAAGATTTTTTCAGTGGACTTTTTGGAGGATCTCGATAAGTTACGTTCAGTGGCTTTGTTTGATTTTGCCTTTTATTACGCCTTGCTTATCTTTTAACCGTCTTCTCCATCTTCCTTTTTTCTGTCATTATCTTTTTCCTTTCATACCGTTTCCTCTCTCACTATACCGTAGTGACTATATTGAGACCTTAGAACTCATATCTCAAGGTGGGTGGCGGCATTTACGTTGTCGATTCTGAAATATAATATTAAAAAAATATATATCTAATATTAAAAAAAAAAGACATGCCCGCTGAGTTTCTTGCCAATTGGTCTCAGGACGGAGGCTAGTTTTTATGAATTGGCGGTAGTTCTTTTTGACGTTTAACAAGTATGTACTTTCATTTATGTTGAATTTTTTATTTTTTATTTCATTTGTGATATCTATGGGCTCCGGCAACCACTTAACACCAGGTGGGCTGTGAGCTTGTCCACCCATCTCTCCTATTCCACTCTTCCACACTTTTTTCACACGTTCCGTTCTTACCAATCCCATATATATATAAATTACAATTAAACCCGAATTCATTTGTAAATTCAGGAGGTGAATATGCGTCTCTCGAAGATGGACGAACTAGACGCTCTGATCGCGGGCGTTTTGTACGTGGACTCTATGAATCCGAGGGAGTGCTACTATTGGGCGCCGCCAGATGAGCAGCCCGTGCACCAGCTGCCCAGCGACACGGTGAGTCGCACACGCAACCAACTAGGTGGCGTTACTGTGGTGCTTAGTACCGTCCTTTGACGAGAGATGGCGCTGGTCGTGGTTTTTTTTAGCGTGGCATTTTTTTTATTATATTTACAATGTAAATGCCGCCACTCACAACTGAAACGCATTACTGCTTCACGGCAGAAACGGACTGGGTGGCGGTACCTACCCGTGCGGACTCACAAGAGGTCCTACCACCAGTAATTACGCAAATTATAATTTTGCGGGTTTGATTTTTATTACACGATGTTATTCCTTCACCATGGAAGTCAATCGTGAACATTTGTTGAGTACGTATTTCATTAGAAAAATTGGTACCCGCCCTTGGGATTCGAACACCGGTGCATCGTTACATACGAATGCACCAGACGTCTTATCCTTTAGGCCACGACGAACCGACTTCAATTGAGGAACCTCTTCCTTTGTTTTTGAAGTCCGGTCAAAATATAGTTTTTTTTTTACTTTCCCAGCCTCCTTACTTGGAAGCCGCCCTCAGCCAATACGTTCGCAAGCCCTACGACTTCTCCTGTCCCTACCCGTTCCTGTTGGTGAACATCGGCAGCGGAGTGTCCCTGCTTGTGGTCAACGGACCGGACAACTACTACAGAGTCAGCGGGACTAGGTACGTCCTCTATGTCATGATAATGTGTAGAGCCTCGTGGTCTAATGCGGGTAGGGGGTCTTGTGGTCCGCAAGGGTAGACAAATAGACCCATGCATAAGTCGCTTGGTATAAAGTTGTCAACGGAACCTGTAGGCATCAATGGGTGCCATGGTTACCGGAGCCCATAGACATCTGCAACGTAAATGCCGCCACCTATCCTGAAATATGAGTTGTAAGGCCTCAGTTTTACCAGTAGAACGGCTGCCCCGCCCTTTAAACCGAAACGCATTATTGCTTCACGGCAGAAACAGGCAGGACGGTGGTATCTACCCGTGCGGCCTCACAAGACGTCCTTGATAATGTCGTGAGCAAGATTCGGGCATCCGCCAAATATCTTATGTTTTTTATTTTTTATTGCCCTTGTAGGCAGACGAGTATACGGTCCACCTGATGGTGAATGGTTACCGTCGCCCATGGCCATCAGCAATGCCAGGGGCAGAGCCAAGTCGCTGCCTACCTGCTACCTACTGTTCTATGATGGCTGTCCGTCACAATGTCATTCCTTCGTGGTGGAAGTCGTCCGCGTGCATCATGCGTCTCATGAATTACTGGTGGTGGGACCTCTTGTGAGTCCGCACGGGTAGGTACCACCACCCTGCCTATTTCTGCCGTGAAGCAGTAATGCGTTTCAGCTTGAAAGGTGGGGCAGCCGTTGTAACTATACTGAGACCTTAGAACTGATATCTCAAGGTGTGTGGCGCATTTACGTTGTAGATGTCTATGGGCTCCAGTTACCATTTAATACTAGGTGGGCTGTGAGCTCGTCCACCCTACTAAGCAATAAAAAAAGTTGATGGCACCGCCTCGCCTTGCTTGCAGTCTCGGCGGGGGGACCTTCCTGGGGCTGTGCTGTCTGCTGACGGGCTGCAGCAGCTTCGAGGAGGCGATATCTCTGGCGGCGTCCGGAGACAACACCACCGTGGACAAGCTGGTGCGCGACATATACGGCGGGGACTACGCGCGCTTCGGCCTGCCCGGGGACCTGGTGGCCAGCAGGTAACGGCACACGCCTCGCGGCCTAAAGAATAAGACGTCCGGTGCGTTCGTATGTAGCGATGCACCGGTGTTCGAATCTCAGGCGGGTACCAATTTTGCTAATAAAATATGTACTCAACAAATGTTCACGATTGACTTCCGCGATGAAGGAATAACGTCATTTACAATACTGAGATCTTAGAACTTATGTCTCCAGGTGGGTGGCGCATTTACGTTGTAGATGTCTATGGGCCCCAGTGACCACTTAAGACCAGGTGGGCTGTGAGCTCGTCCACCCATCTAAGCAAAAAAAAAAGGACTCATGTGGTGTTGTCGATGTCCAAAAGCGACAACGACCACGCGTCATCGTTAATATGACATTTAATCATTTTTGATTATTATTTTTTTCAGCTTCGGGCAGATGTGCTCCGCGGACCGAAGGGCCAAGGTGTCAAGGGAGGACCTGGCGAGGGCCACGCTGGTCACCATCACCAACAACATCGGCTCGATAGCGAGGCTGTGCGCTTGCAACGAACGCGTCGAGAGGGTGAGTGGTACCTATATCGCGATGCAGTGTGACGTCATACGTGGTCATCACGTCGAATCCTCCCGATCCGCTATCGATGCTTTTAGGTACATCAAGCACCGGTCATCGTTCTCGTTGAACTCGTCACTTAAGTTTCTCGCCGGACCTTTTCAGTGGGTTGCGTTTCCGATCCGGTGGTAGATTCTGCGAAGCACTGCTCTTGCTAGGGCCAGTGCTAGCAACGTCGTCAGGTTTGAGGCCCGTGAGCTCGCCTACATGTCAAGAAGCTGAGATAGCCTCTCAAGGCTATCAGCATAGGCAGGAAAAAAATAACCCACAGACACAGCCCGCTGAGTTTTACGCCAGATCTTCTCGGTGGATCGTGATTCCCATCCGGATGTAGATTTTACGAAGCACTGCTCTTGCTAGGGCCAGTGTTGTCAAATTATCTCAGGTTGAACCTGTCAATACCAGTCAGTGATTATCTAAAATAGCTTAGGCTACCAATGAATAGGTAAAAAAAACTAAGGGTTTCAATTGAGTCATGACCATTTATAAGCAAAATTTCATTCGTAATTTTGTTAAGCTATTTTCGTTCGAAGCAACATACATCTGAATATAGTTTATTAACTTTAAATTCGATTTTGTAAATATCAAATTCAATTTTCATGCGAAAGTTAGAAATTTTTTTATTATTATTTTATAATTAACGGACCTGGAAACAAAAATAAGAAACACAAAAAATAATACTTACATACATCTCAACTAAATGTTTTCAATTTGCAAGTTTATAAAATTGAATTTGCTGTTACATTAATTAATATATTATTTGCAAAACAGATATACTAATTGTAAAAATTATTTTCTAGGTTGTATTTTGCGGTAACTTCCTACGAGTGAATCCGTTGTCGATGAAGCTTTTGTCGTACGCGATGTCCTACTGGTCGAGGGGAGCTTTGAAAGCACTGTTCTTGGAGCACGAGGGGTGAGTTTCCGAAGCGTGCGTGGCTTGATTGGTGAGACGATGTAACGAGAGATCCGAATTCACATTTCTAAGCACACTGTCGACGGAACAACGCAACGTAACGTCGCCCGAAACATGTTTTATTAGAACCCCCGGATCCACTCTCAGTGCTTATAGGCGATCAAGAGTTCGACGAGAGAACCAACCCATAGACACAGCCCAGGCCCATTGAGCCCATCGCTACATACGAATGCACCGGACGTCTTATCCTTTAGGCCACGACTACTTTGAAGTAGCCAGTAGACAAAATAAGTTTGGGAATCTCTGATCTAAACCAGATCTATTAACGGTTGTCTCCAGCTACTTTGGGGCCGTCGGTTGTCTCCTGCACCTCGACGCGGAGAACCACAAGAAACTGCGGAACCGCACGCCGCCGACGGGCGACGCCGCGCACGCAGACAGGTGAACCCGAACTGACAGCTGTCACTTGACGCACGTCAAAACCGACGTTTGACATTTGGGTTAATATTATAATAATTATCGTTATGTACTACATATTATTATTATTTTCCATTAATTTTAATGATGGTTGTGGCGTTCGTTGTCGTCGCCGTCGGGGACGCGAGACGGTTTGGGTGTTTGAAGTGCTCTCAAAATTTGTAAAGATAATGGTAGGTCTTTTTTTTTTTGGTGTTTAAATATAACTTTGGTAAATAAACAAACAAAGAATATTTTTCTCCTACCGACGCCGAAAGTTTGGTTTTCGTCCCGCTGTACAGGGAAGAAAGTGTAACTTTTTCTCCCTGGGCGTGCGCATGCGCGTTAAGTGTCTACGTCTGCTCTCATGAACCTAAAATTCTCCGCCATTGTTGTGCTCGGGTAATTTGCAATATTGTGTTTAGTGTAAAAGTGAAATAAACAAAAGGCAACAAAATTTAATAGTGAAGTATTAAACAAAGATGAGTTCATCCGAAAGTTCTTATTTAATTAGTAGTAGTTTATTTAAAAATTAAAAAACAGTTAAATTGCATTTTTATGAGTGTGGGGGCCCCGCCCCCCTCCCTACCCCCGCCAGGGCTTCGTCCCTGGACCCCACCGGGGCTTCCGGCCATTACTCCACGAACTTTCGGCCTGGTAGGAGAAAAAATAGTATGTGCACCGCGGGAAAAAAGTTTGACATTTCCTCCCGCGTGTAAAATTGGACAAACACGTGGAGGAAATGTCCAACTTTTCTCCCTTGGTGCACAATGTACTATTTTCTTGCTATACGATTACAAAAGAAGCTTTTAGTTTTAACAAGAAAAGGAATTTAGTCATGTCTCGTGCGCTCTCGCGACGTTAGAGCTGAGTGCGAGCGAGACGGAAGTCGACTTTGAAACGAAAGAAAGAAACTTGCCAAGAACTATTGTATTGAACAAATTATATTAATTGTTGTTTAGTGTAGCTAAAGTCCGAATTGTTCTCAAAAATGATTAAATGTTGTTGGCTACGAGTGTGGTCCATGGAAAGTACCAACTTTATTAAATGTAACTAAAGTGCGTTTCTAACTCCATCTGTCGGTCGGGGGGCGTACTATAAGAGAAAGCTTCTCTTTGATAGGAGAGTAGTATTATCTTATACATGATTTCATTTGTAACGATGCTGGTCTTTCAATGAATATAATATAATATAAATACAATAAATACTGAATATCTGTATTTAAAATGTCAACGGATAAATACAAGAGTCGTTCGCGGACTAGGAAAACTATGGAGTATTCGTAAACCATCAAAATAATAAAATGTAAAAGTTTGTTTTACAATAATATTAGTTATTGATTTTAATCATTTTTGAAATTTGAATTCTGTATATAGATTAAAGTTTACAGGGTAAACTGCACTATTATTGACACACCTAGCGGTGGTGTATTCTTTGATGGCGAAAAAATCAATAAAATAATTATATTATTTTTTACAGTGATTAATTTTTTTTTTGTTAGCCTATTCCATTTCGATTGACAATAGGATCGTACCAAAAGATCAAAGCCATTTAGTATGTTATACAAACATGGAAAATGGAAATGGAATTTAATGAGGCAAATAAAAGTGTCAATTTATTGAAACTCAATTATAATTATCGGAATAGTTAAAATATTAAAAACATCTAAACAGGAAACAATAATGGATTAGCAAAATAAAATAATATAAATTGGTTATTAGTTTCCTAAGGATTCACACGAAATTCGAGTTGCTATTGTGTAAAGTTTTGCTACCACAAAACAAAATTAAAAATTAAACTAAATCCTCTTGATATTATTAAGTGAGTGTGTTAATAATAGTTCGGCTTATCCTACACGGAAAAAAAAGAAATTAAAAAAAAAACTAGCCTAATGACTGATACATGTGTTATTATAAATATAACAAATGAATGTTTGTAAAAAAATGTTTACGAGTCGTTGATTGAATTCAATAGTGACGAGAGAAAAGCGTTATGTATAGTATAGATAATGGTAATATTTTAAAACATCGAGGCAAAGGGATATAATTGTTTTGTGTAAAAATTATAGAGGTTTATGGAATTTTTATTTTTAGCTTCGTTTTTATTTGTGAGACCGCGCGGGCAGGTACCACCGCCCTGCCTATTTCTGCCGTGAAGTAGTAACGCGTTTCGGTTCTAAGGGCGGGGTAGCCGTTGTAACTATATTGAGACAGAACTTATATTTCAAGGTGGGTGACGCATTTACGTTGTAAATGTCTATGGGCTCTAGTAACCACTTAACACCAGGTGGGCTGTGAGCTCGTCCACCCATCTAAGCAATAAAAAAAAGCCTAAAACAAAACGAGTGCGAGAGCTTCCCGTTGTTACTATAGAAAAAGCTTAAAGCATTTTCCAATTGAGCTTTTGCTTTTTTCAAACGCTTATATTGAATTTAACCAATGACTAGAAAATTTGACATTCAAATTTCGCTGTTGTTTCAATTTGTTTGATGTTAATATCAGAAATGTTTATATAGATTCGTTGGGCGTATATAAAATGTTTTACAGATAAATATTTAAAATTATGAATCAAAATATTGTTGTTACGGTGCTTGCGTGAATATTCTATCGATTTTCTACCATTTTGGTAGTATTTCTGTTTTGTTGGTTGTTGTTGTTCACGATTTGAATTGACTGAACTAATTGACAATTGTTTATGACAATGACAATTGATTCGAGAATGTGTACACATGTATAATTGTCTCTTATTTACGCACATAATTCTGCATCACATTTTCAACTTGTATAAGTCGATCACAGTATATAAAAGTTTCAGTCAATCAATTTTTATTAATTTCGAATGTTTTTATTTGAAATCCGTATTTGGTTACTTGTATCTGTTTAAACTGTCGACGTTATTATTAGTTTAAAATGAAATGTGTGAAAATCCTAAACCGTACAAATATATAAAGAACACTCTACACTTATTTAATACGATAAATGGTTTTGGTTATTACGTATTCATACTACTGTTGGGGTAAAATTGGGAATGCACTGATCTATGTATTAATGGGGAAGCACTGCTCTTGCTAGGGCTAGTGTTAGCAAATTGACTAAATTAGAGCCCCGTGAGTTCACCTATTCGTTGGGTTACGCTGGCTTAAGACCTCAAGATTACCAGCATATGTTTTTTTTTTGGTCAGCATGAAATCGCTGCACTTCTGCCATCCACTGTGGTTAGAGGGTGGGGAATGTCGGAGTCGAACCGACTAAAACCTCCTGTCGCATGACGCGAACCTCGCATGAGACAGAACTCGTGAAAATGCAAAGGGGGGAAAGTGAAGCGTTTAGCCATCACCCTCCCCCTCAACCAGCATAGGTAGGAAAAAAAATATTATTCGCCGAATGGACCGATGTTTTCATTATTCTTGACATATCGTCTTCTCGCATTAAAACTGTACAATCTTAAAACTTACTAATGTTACAAGAGATTGCTTTAAAGGTTTAACATGTAATATTTTTAATATTAATCATATTTGCAACATTTATTTTTTATTTTTTACCAGTTACATTATCTGTCTTTTGAAGTAAGATAAAATGATGTATATTAATTTTGTTAATAGTAGTCAAAACATAGGTAAACTAAAAAAAAGAAAAACTAAAACTAAACTACGCTCTTTTGACAGTATTTATTGGAAAAATACTGGTGATACCAAATGCTTACGCACATTAACTAAATTCCGAATATTTTTGGAAATTGTATACTTTTAATGCGGTAAGGCAATATGGTGGGTAGTCGTGCAAAGAGATTGCGCTGCATGAATGTGTGACAGCTGCGAAACGTCTTCACTCTTCCTAAGTCAGAATGTGCTCTCAATAACACCTCGACCACAGATTACTAAATAAAAAACCTCGACTCTGCCGAAGCGCGACACCCGAAGCGAGCCGATGTTTGAGGAGTCGTTGCGGCCCGCGTCCACTAGATGGCGCGCTTTCGTTTCCGTTTGTCGTGTCGGTCGTGCGACGATATATTTATGGATCGTATTTGGTAAGTTTTTGTGGGATCGGTTCGCGGGAAATACATATTCAATAGGGGCTTTTCGTTATCCGTATTAGTGATATGGTAGTGGTAATTTATCGGTGATAGGACGTGTTGTGAGTCCGCACGAGTAGGCCTATTTCTGCCGTAAAGCAGTAACGCGTTTCGGTTTGAAGGGTGGGGCAGCCGCTGTAACTATACTGAGACCTTATATCTGATTAGTACCTATTAGAACTTATATCTCAAGGTGGGTGGCGGCATTTACATTGTAGATGTATATAACATCAGGTGGACATTGAGATCGTCAACTTATTGACGCATTAAAAAAAAGATGGCTGTATAATTATGTATGTGATTGATTGAAAATTTAATGTCTCCAAATGAGTAAGTAGTCGCATTCACATATCGAAGGGTGGAAAGCTATTTTTTTAAGCGACATTTATCTTTGTAATTAAAGATTAATTCGGTATTAGCATCAACGGTTCGATGTTTTTAATTGAATTTCTTTCTTTTTCCCTACCCATGCTGATAGCCTTGAGAGGCTATTTTAGCTTCTCCTCGACGTGTAGGTGAGCTCACGGGGCTCTAACCGGAGTGTTGCTAACACTGACCCTAGCAAGAGCCGGGCTTCGCAGAATCTACCACCGGATCGGTAACGCGACCCACTGAGAAGATCCGGTGAGAACTCAGTGGGCTGTGTCTGTGGGTTAATTTACGATGACCGGTGCTTGAGGTACCTAAAAGCACCGTTAATGGATCGGCAGGATCCGAAATGACGTATTTTGGGCGACGTCGACAACTTCAATTAAGTTTACTGCCTTCGAAAAATAGCTGAAGTTTTTTTGTGTTATGATATTTTCTCAAAATCTATATACGTAAAATTGCTGTTCGCTAGTCTCGCTAAAACTCGAGAACGGCTGGCTAATTTTGGTCTTGAATTATTTGTGGAAGTTCAGAGAAGGTTTAAAAGGTAGATAAATATGAAAATGTTCGGAATTAAATAAAAATAACAATTTTGTTTTTCCTTTGATGTGTCCCCAGTCGGACAGGGATTCCTTTTGTTTGTTTTAAGTTTATTTTATACAAAAGTTTAGGTCTTTTATTTATCTATTGAGGCACTACGAAGTCTGCCGGGTCAGCTAGTTTTAAATATATCTCCAGTAAATTTACAAAAATGTCGCTTACGCCAAACAGCCTTCGACGCATCGATATCATGTGA